CCTGGCCATAAACGATAAGTTTTATCTTGAGAAGGGATCTTTTCATATAATTCTTTTGAAGATTCTTGGAAAATAACTGGATCATCTGATCCATGACAAATGTAAATTGGTGAAGTTATGCTTACGTATTTACTTTCTAATAACGCTTTTCCCTCGAGCACCATGGTTACAACTAAAAAAATAATTGAAAATGATAGTCAAATTATTTTATTATTAATAATTCTTAAGAAATACTTGAAAATAATATATATGTAAATAATATATATATGACATACTTGTGTTTATGGAAACAGTTTTAAAAATCAATGGATCTTCACGAAGTTGTTCTTGGATCTCTGGGTCATGAGTCATATCTTTGGGATATAGAGGAAGTGATATGTGATAATTTGGTATAATCATATTTAAAAAATTACCCACTTTAGCTAATGCACTAGTAGGTGTAAGAAATGGAGTGCTAATGACGAAACCGGCCAAATTATCTTTTTCTGGTCCATAACTGGCGTAATGTAATCCTAAACTGCCACCCTGTAACAGACATAAATGACATGGAAAATAACGACATATATATGTGTGTGCAATATAACAAGCAACAGCATATAAATAACATATTTACCATACTATGACCCATCAAAAATTGAGGAATCCCTGGTTTTCTCTGAGCTATTATGACATCATTGATATCATTTAAGGCCACATCCCAACTCCCCGGTTCTCCTGGATTATTATTTCGAACTGCAGTTTGTCCAAATCCTCGTTGATCATGAGCAAATACTTCAATATTCTTATTGGAAAATTTGGAAAATACATAATCATAACGATTAACGTGTTCTGAAATTCCATGAATAAAAACTACCGTCGCGATTGGGCGAGAAGAAATTGCCTATGAATTATATTTAAAAATAAGAAGAAAATAATTGAATAGCTTCTAAATATCAAATAATGTAATTTAATGAATGTTTATTTTCGATAAAAAAAATGAAAATATATTTACCTTCCAAGTCTTTGTATACATAGGAACTCCATCTTTGGTAGTAATCCATTGCTCGATAACTTCACCTTTTGTCATTTTTAAGTAATATTTGAAAGAAAAACTAACTGATGATCACGGATGGTAAAAGAAATGATAAAAAATGATAACGGATGATTAAGAAAAAGGACTGAACAATATTTATAAATGTCAAAAGATCTGCAAGATTTTGGACAAAAATAATTGTTTAATATAAGTAATCCTATGACCAATGTTGTTCAAGGACAAATTACTTTATAAAACGTAATTAATCAATATCTATTTATAAACTAGTTAAGAGCACGGACAGCGCAGTTGCGGACATGTAAAATGTATAACACCATAAATGTAATGTTACTCCGTTACGCCGTATTTATAATTTTATTTTGTCGCGATACAATATTAATAATTTTATTTATAAGTTGAGAAATCAGATGGTGGTAAATTCATGCAAATTGGATCGATTTAAATATTAAATAATCTTTTCAACATTTAAATAATAAATCGTATGAAAAAAAAATTTCCCTATTTTTTTTTTTTGTTATCCTTTCTTAAAATTCACAGAACATAAAGGAAAAAAGAAACAATATCTTTTGTTTCGGCTTGAATAAACCATTCATAATAAAATTTACTATATTGTCACATGATCGAAAGATAAGCTAATATTATATGAAATAAATGATATTGATTACATGAACTATATATATATATATATAGCAATATGGATCAAGGTTAGATCACACATCAAAAAGACTCGAAGTTTTTTCAATACTGGTTGTAATGTTTAATGATAACAATTCATTCAAGAAAATGTATGCCAAGAAATAAGAATTTCTTGCCACAGAGTTTTATTTAATTTATATTAATATTCTTGTAAAGAAGCAAAATATGCAATCATTCATGTTGATAAAAATATAAGTATAGCATTTGAAACTGACTAATAATTATCATCTCATTAACTAAATTGCAAGATAATCATAAAAATATATTTTCTTTTTCCTGAAACAAATAATAATGCGTTGGAGTGAAGTGATCAATAAATATTTAAATTGTAATTGAAAATGGTGATTTAAATAATAATTTCGATAGTATTCACGAGAACTTGATCCTGGGGAGCTGATTTCAAATAATTTAAATCATTTGAATGTCTATGAAATTATCTCGACAAATTTATGATTACTAGTAGCATTATCAATTAGTTTCAATTACCAACATTAGTATCGATTAATAGCATTATTAGATTATTTTGCACGTTAGAATTATTACCAATTAGCAATTATTGGATATCCATGACCTTTTTGGCTTTTGAGTAAATTGCAAATTATAAATAAATATAAATAAATAAAGATAAATAATTGTTGCAATCATAAAGAAATCAGTGATGACATTAAGGAAAGGACGAATATTTTCCATTCTAATCAAGATTTTTTTTATTAATTAATGTATAAATTTTATCAAGTTTCAAATTTCTTTAGCAAATAAGTACATGTACGCATCGTAAATTAATTATTACTTTTGAGACAAAAATTATTGAATTTATCCGAAGAGAAAACATCGGAAAAATTATTAAAAAAAACCAGCTAAATAAGTTATTAGATTTTCGCATCACGGAAAATTATTATTTAATTTTTCAGTATCTGTCATCGAGATATGGATAATCAAAATAAGAAAGCTAATTTAGAGAAAAAGTTGAAGATCGATAACCATACTGTTGTCATTTTTAAGTTTAACGATTTGTGCATATCCTTAAAATTTTACTTTTACAGTATTTAAAATCGAGTAATTTGGGAATTCATGTATGACGACACCGACGAAACCTGTTGAAAGATTTGTACTCATAACAGATAATAAATGAATGGAATGTAGGCGAAAAAAAAAAAATTCTTACTCTTTTGAAGGTAATTTTTTAAAAATTTAAAGTTTTTTTTTAAAAAAAAAAATATTTGAAATTTTAAAGTTTTGAAGTTTTAATTTAAAATATTGCCCAAAAATTGAACGTTTCCAAATTTAGAAAATGACTGAACCTACATCAGAAAATCCCGATACAACAGAAAATCCCGAAACGTAATTATAAAAAAAATAAATAAAGTTAATTAAATTATAAAATTAATTATAAAAATAAAATAATTTGTTATAAATTATAATAAAATTTTCAGGCATTCATGGTTCGGGCAAATCAAAGAAGCTATTGAGCATGTAGCGGAGAGTTTTCAATCTGCAAAAATTGATGAAAATGTTGTGAAAGCTTTTGATGATTTGGATGATAGAGTTATTGAAAAATTAAAGGACACTACTCTTTATCCCGAACTTGAATGGGATGCAACTGTAAGGTATCTTAATTATATTTTTAAATAAAATTATATTTTGGCGAAATTTTAAATAAAATTATATTTTAACGAATTTTAAATAAAATTATATCCTGGTGAATTTTAATAAATAAATTTTTTTTTTAATAAATTTTTAATAAATCAATTTTAAATATATTTTTCAGAATTAGTAATGATTTATGTGAAGAAGAAAAAAAATTTATTCATGATAGAAAACTTTTTATCCGTGAAGCATTTGCAAAATATGTGGGAGTTGACGTTAGTGAAATTCATGTTGATGATATTCCAGTAATTACATTTATGGGAAGCGGTGGAGGATTTAGAGCTATGATTGCTGTTACTGGTATTATATTTATTATTATATCTAATAATTATTATATCTAATAATTTATGATATTTGTTAATTTATTATATCTGATAATTTATTATATCTGATAATTTATTATATCTGATAATTTATTATATCTGATAATTTATTATATCTGATAATTTATTATATATTATTTATATTTATTATGTTCAGCTTACCTCAAAGCTCTCCAAGATTCTGGACTTTATGATTGTGGTGTATATCTTACAGGTGGGTATATATTTAACCAGATAATGTATATAATATATATAATATATAACTGATAATATAATTATTATTTTTATTTTTTATATAATTTTTAGGTCTCAGTGGCAGTTGTTGGAATATGGCTCAACTATATTCAACGATTGCTCAATCACATGAGAATCCGATTCAAGCATTATTAGATTTTTATAGAACCCAACTTACACATAATATTGTTAATGCACGTGGAGTCTTAAAAGGACTTTCTGAAACTTCTGATACAAAAACAGCTGTTGAATTAGTATTTGGATCTTTAATTCAGAAAAAAGCCACCGGGGTGAAATTATCAATTATGGATGTTTACGGTGCATTGTTAGCCGCAAAACTTATGATTGACAAAGATCCCACAAAACAATTTGGTGATTTTAAATTGAGTGAACAAAGAAAATATATTGACGGTGGAAAGAATTTAATGCCTCTTTATGTTGCGTAAGTTTACAACAAGTTTGTATAAAATTTATTATAAATTTTATTATATTATTTATCAAGTTTATTTTTATTATATTAATTTTATTATATTTTATTATATTTTATAGAACTTCTCATATTCGTCCATGGAAAGATGCTCTTGAAACAAAAGAAGCAGCATTAATTCCAAATTACGAAGAACTTTTCGAAATACATAAAAAGAAGAAAGATTATTATCAGTGGTACGAATTTAATCCTTATGAAATTGGAAGTGATGAAATTCCAGGTTAGTTTATTATTGGAATTTATTACTATCATTCATTCATTAATATTAATTAAAAAAAATTAATTATTATTATTTATAATAATAATTTTATAATAGCATGGATTCCTTCTTGGGCGTTCGGTAGAAAATTCGAATTTGGAAAAACTGTTGAACGATTTCCTGAACAAAATTTTGGCTTATTAATTGGGTTAGTAAATATATTTAATATAATATAATGTAATATAATGTAATTTTATTTATCATATTTATCATTATTATTAGTTTAATGGGTGCTGCACCTGCTGCTCCACTTATTTCAGATATTACTCAAATTCAATTATTCCTTCCTGCGGGAAATTTTAAAGATCAATTTAAAAACCTTTATGATGAAGCCATGGAAAGAATTGGAACTCAAAAACAACAAGAATTTGAAGGACATCATCCAATTCCACAACCACATAATTATAATTTTTCATATCATCTTCATCCATCGCCACCATATCCACTTGGACTCACCAATAATGAAATAATTGACCTCATCGATTCTGGTGTATCAAATGATTTTCCCATGTATCCCATAACTCATCCAAATAGAAAGATTGATGTTGTCATTGGATTTGATTGTTCAAGTGTTATCATTGATCATAAATTTTTTGATGACGAACAAGATTTTTTCTGTAAACGAAGAGGTTTCAATAGAGTTACTCGTGACGTGACTAACAAATATTGTGAAATTTATGATTACATTCCAACCGGCGAAACTGATGATGAATTTTTACCTCCCGCACAAAAGCAATTTGTATTATGTTATATGCAATATTTTCCTAATGATAAGGTTGATCCCAGTTTTGTACCTAGTAAAGCGAAATTTGCTGCTTTCAATAATTTCGTTTATACCACTGCTCAAGTTGATTTAATGATTAGATTAGCAAAAGAAAATTGGTTGGAATCCGAAAAACAAGTTAAGGAAATTATCATTGATACTTGGAAGAAAAAAAGAGATGCAAGATTGAATGGAACCAATTTTCCATAATTTATAAAGAATTTATTTTTATATTTATTTTTTTTTTTTCATTATTATCAAATATTCATTATTAAATATTTATTATTAAATATTTATTAACAAATATTATAAATAAAATTTATTGATTGCATGTTATATTAAGTATAAATAATTAATTAATTAATGAAAACGTGAAGATATGAAAAAAATTTATTAATTAATATATTGTTAAAACGTTAAATAATCTAAAAATCATAATATAAGATAAAGTGTCAAATAATCTAAAAATAATTATATAAAATAAACAATTGAAAAATTAGCAATTAAACAAAGAACCAAGGCTTCATGCATTTACACGGGCAAGAATCCATTGGAGATAATCATCGATGACCTGATCCTTTTCAAATTCGTTATGCGCTGAAATAATAAATAAATAAATAAACAATTAAATAAATAATTAATTAATAATCAACTGCAATTTCAGTAATAAATAATAAATTATTACGTACGTTCATGACGAAGTCCCGGCCATAAACGAAAAGTTTTATCTTGGGAAGGGATCTTTTCATATAATTCTTTTGATGATTCGTGGGAAGTAACTGGATCACCTGATCCATGACAAATATAAATTGGTGAAGTTATGGTTACGTATTTACTTTCTAATAATGATTTTGTCTCGTATATCATGGTTATAACTAAAAAAATCATTGAAAAAAAAAAATAGATAATTTATTTTATTATTAACAAGAAATAATACTTGAAAAAAAAAATTAATATCAATTAAAATTATAATAAATAAATAAATAAATAAATAAATAAATAAATAAATATATATATACTTCTATTTATGGGACAACTCGCACTAAACAATGGATCATTACGAGCTTTTTTGTGGATCACTGGGTCATGACACATATCTTTGTGCTTCACAGGAAGTGGTATGTGATAATTTGGTATTATCTTATTAAAAAATTTACCAAGTTTAAATAATGTGGGATAACTTTTTTTAAGTGTAATAAATGGAGCGCTAATGACGAAACCGGCCAAATTATCCTTTTCTGGTCCATAACTGGCATAATGTAATCCTAAACCGCCGCCCTGTATCATATAAATATTAAATAAATATATATATATATAACCGTATATAAATAACAAACAAATATATAAACGACATATTTACCATGCTTTGACCCATCAAAAATTGAGGAATTCCTGGTTTCCTCTGAGCTATTATGATATCGGTGATATCATTTAAGTTCTGTTCCCAAGTCCCCAGTTCTCCCGGATTTTTATTTTTAACCGCAGTTTTCCCAAATCCTCGTTGATCATAAGAAAATACTTCAATATTCTTATTGGAAAATTTGGAAAATACATAATCATAACGACTAATGTGTTCTCCAAATCCATGAATAAAAATCACTGTTGCGATCGGTGAAGAGATTGCCTAAGAATGAATAATTTAAAAATAATTGAATAGCTTTTAAATATCAAATCATGTAATTAATGTTTTATTTTTCGGTAATAAAAAAAAAAATCTATCTACCTTCCAAGTCTTTGTGTACATAGGAACTCCATCTTTGGTAGTAATCCATTGTTCAACAACTTCACCAGTAATAGCTTCTTGATTATATCCTGTCATTTTTAAAGAATATTGAACTGAAAGTAACTTGAGAATAATAACGGATGGTAAGACGGTAAAGAAGTAAAAGGTAAACAGGACAGATGATAAAGAATCATTAAATATAAAGTTTAAGTATTATTCTCGATCTAGAAATATTCATCCATAACTGGTAGTCAATTATATTAATTATATTAAAAATTATTTTAATTTAGCAATAGTAAACCCGAAGTACATTCTTTTTCAATTATCCAATTTTCTTCATTCACGTGAGATTTTCTGATATAAAATTTAGGGGAAAATGTAAAATTGTTCGTTATACGGATAAGATCTGCAGCATATCTTATATTATTATAAAATACGTGCGCACAATGAATGAAAAAAATTATAGAAGTAGACTAAATTATGTCAAATGTTTTTATATTACTTGACATAATTACGTCAGTAAAAAGGTCTGCACCTATAATTTCCACATAGAAAATGGGATGTTTTACGAATTTTTATTTTAGCGCTTAAATAAATCGCCCCAAATTACTTATTAATACAATAATTCCGAGGTTCCACAACACACTGTTTACATCACATGCATCTTGCATTATAATCGTAACAATGTCTTTAATGAATTATTTGACAAAATTGGATTTATTGCTGTCACAAAGATATTTTATGAAAGAACAGATCCAAGATATTTAACGATTAAGGTGAACTTTATTATTAATATTTCTTTTTTTACCATTTAAAACATAACTAACTAAAATTCATTATTTGGAGATACAATTCATTAGTAATTAAAATTATGCATAAACTCCGATGTCTTTCCGTTATTCAGAATTTGTATTTAAAAGTTATTTGAATTATTTGAAAATTACAAAAAGAAATTTTCCTTTTTAAAAAAAAAATATTAAAAAAAAATGAAATATAAATTTTTAGACGAGTTATCACAAGATTTTTTGGAACTTCTTAATGATAAAGAAGAATATAATGTTATTTTTGAAGTTGATCAAAATCGGGATATTAAAACATTCACTGCACACTCGACCATCTTACGTTATCGATCATCCTACTTTAATAAAGAATTAACGAATACCACAAGTGTTAATCATATCAAAACTATTAGTAAACCAAAAATTTCTGCTCAAGTATTCGAAATCATTCTTAAGTATGACATGATATTATTTTATTTTATTTTATATTATTAAAATATTAAAATTTTAAAAATATTAAAATTTTAAAAATTTTTTTAAAAAAAATATTAAAAATTTAAAAAAAAATAATAAATTAATCGTCAAATTTAATAACTTTATATAGATATATTTATGGTGGAGCTGTTGATACAGAAAATATTGACACCAAAACTATTTATAAATTGATGATTGTTGCTAATGAATTTGAGTTAAAGAAATTATCAATAATATTAGAAAAATATCTTATCGATTTTAAAGCTTCTTGGTTAAAATCCCATTTTTCCTTGGTTTATCATTCTATTTATAAAAGTGATGACAAATTTAAAGATTTAAAAAATTTTTACAATACTATAGTTACAAAATATCCAAATCTCATTTTTGAATCTATTGAATTCACTTCTACTCATGAATCTGCCTTAATATCTATTTTAAAACAAGAGGATTTACAAATGAAAGAATCGGAAATTTGGGATTATGTGATTAAGTGGGGAATTGCAAGAAGTCACAATTTACCCAAAAAATTAGAAGATTGGTCTGACGAAAATTTTCTAACTTTAAAAACCACCCTACAACAATGCTTACCACTTATTCGTTATTTTCACATTTCAATTTTAGACGTCATGAATAAAATAAAGCCATATAAGAAAATTCTAGATAAACAATTATGGAATGATTTAACTCAATACCTCTTACATCCTGATCGATCATTTAAATCTATTATCTTACCACCGAGATCAATTTTAATTCAAAAATTACCATCAAGAGTAAATGAATCATTTTCAAATATAATTAATCGAGATCAAGCAGCAGAGATTTCATCATGGATTGATTATGAATCATCAGTTTATCATCCGATGAATAATCCTTATAAATTTCAAACGATTCTTCGAGGTAGTAGAGATGGATTCGCTCCAAGAAAATTTTGGGATCTTTGTGATGGGTACGCTCGTACGATTGTGGTCTGTAAAATTAAAGGAACGAATCAAATCGTTGGTGGATATAATCCTTTAGTCTGGGATAAATCAAAATATGATTGGATGGAAACGGATAAAAGTTTTATATTCTCATTCAAGGATGGTGTCACCTCCATTAATCCAATTCTGAGTCGAGTTAAAGAAGAAACTTGTGCTTTATGGTATCCTAGTGATAAAGATATATATGGACCAAGATTTGGACTTGAAGAATTCGTGATGAAATCATGTGTAGCTAATTTTACTCAAGATAAACAAAACAAGTGTATGAGTTCTTGTTATAATAGTTACGAAAAGTCTATTAGAACGACTAATGATGAATTTTCTATTATAGATTATGAAGTCCTTAGAATTATTAAAAAATATTAAATATTTAATTATTTTATTAATTATTTTATTAATTATTTTATTAATTATTTTATTAATTATTTTATTAATTATTTTATTAAT